TTAATATATACGTTCTCTTACAATAAATATATATTTTTCTTATGTTTTAGCGGAAACAATACAAATTGGAGTTCTGAGGATGAACGCATTGCAACACAAAGCTTTCTGCTTTTGGATAAAAATATGAATAAAGCTTGGGAACGCAAAGAGTGGAAGACGTTTCGGGAGTTAGTCATGAACTCAAAGTAATTTGAAAAATTTTAAACTTAAAATAAAAAATCTTAAAGTTTTACGAAATTTCAGGACTTTACGGAAATGCGGAAAGAAAATGCCTCGGTACTGTGATGCAAATGGCGATAAGAAAATTACACTAACTGAGTGGTTGAACTGCTTACAGACTCAAAGTGTTGAGGTGAAAACACCTCAAAATCAGTTACAGCGAAACGGTATGCTAAGTTACATATAATATACATTATATAAATAAAAGTAATTATACATACTTCATAGGAGAGTCTGGCACTTCGAAACCTTTAAAATTAACCGGATCAAATCCCCTTGAGCAATATCTCAAAGATTGAACACACCGATTTGAATACATAGAGCAATGTGCCATTTTGAACTAACACACATTTATTGTAATGAAATGGATAGATGAGGAGAGAGAGCAGTAGAGATATCAATCGAATTTAAAATAAAAATAAAACAAATTCATAAATTATTTTTAAATATTGTTAAATTTTTTTAATTAAATACATCGCATAATACTTTACATGCAAATATGTATGGAATCAGTGAAAGTACCTTACATTCCTGAGCATCCTTTAAATTCACTAGAAATATACTTATTAATATACTTATTTTAAACACACAAACTTAGTTTAAGAAATGTTGATATAGCGCCTTAATATTAAATATTAAATATTATTTAACAGCTTTTAGTTTGTATATAGAAAAACATTATAAATACCTAAAAATATAAAAATCTAAGCGCATGTTAACGAATTTGTACATTAATACATTAAATATAGTTAATACATAAGGAACTATGCAGTCTATTAAAATGGCTATATGAAATGAAATTTGTAAACAATCTTATTTATTTATCCGTTTTCATTTATTAGAGCACTGCTTTGGTTTTGAAATCTAGACGACTTAAAGCACTGTTCCCTAGCAATCGTTTTGCAAACACTGTCAAGAGTAGCAAAGCCAGAGTGGTCACTTCCATTATCACGAAATGTGAAATAGATGTGCCTATTTCCAGCCATGATCCTTCATTCTTTACTAAAAATAAGAAATTAAGTCCCATAATATCACAAATAAGTAGTAAGCAGATAAAAATCTGCTTCTGATAGAAATGTGCGACGGGTGATAATCCCATAATAATTGAAATTACTATAATCACAGGAATTAAAAGTTTTAAAATAACAAGCATTGTTATGACAAAGGGTGAGAAGGTTGTTAAGAAACACCTAATTATAATTGGATCAAATGAACTAACCGAAGCAATATTTCCAGTGCCAAAGAATGAGTAAAACGTGTACAATATAATGGCAAACGCCAAACGCACTACAGATTTTAATTTATATACTGAATCAAGTGCAATCACTCCACTGGAGATCTCTATATCATATGGGAAGAGTGAAAGTATTAGTTCAGAACCCAATACAACAACGAAGAATAATTCATACGTTGTACAGAATAACGCATATAATGTAGTCAGTTGAAAAAATATCAGTTCAACTCGATGTTTCAGCATTTGCTTAGGAGCCAAGAAAATTGAAGTAAACGTATAAAGCAGATAGCTCCATGAAACTATTTGGGATGGTAATGATATACCTATATGGTTTGAATTCTGATACACACAGAGTAGCGTGTTTGCAATTGCAATGACTGCATACACCACAGTGTGCTTGTTCAAATGTGATTTAATCACAAAAGGACGAAGAAATGTTATAGTCAATCCCGCAACTAAAAGAGGAAAATTATTATTTCCAACCGTAGGTGCTACTAATGGTGTTATTACAATTATTAAAACCATTATTATTCGATACAAAAATTT